CCAGAGGGAAGGGAAACACACTGTTGTAAAGACAGAAGGAATGGAAATGTGGTACATCATTTCTAAGGAAGCTTTTCAAAATGTCTCAGCCATTCAATGTGCTCACATTCCCCGGGGCTGGTGTGGCTCAGCTGGTTGAGCATCATCCTATGAACCAGGAGGTGAAAGTATGATGCAGGGTCAGGGCAGATGCCCTGGTGGCCGCCGCCGTCCCCAGTAGGGGGCATGCAGGAGGCACATGAATGGTTATCATCACTGATGTTTCTGTCTCTCCCTCTCTTCTTCTCTGAAACCAACGCAAATGTATTTAGACGCAAGAATAAATGTGCTCACATTATGCACATAAATGTTTCTCTAAAAAATTTATCCTAAGAAAATACTCACATTTCCTAACAATATACATATTGAAGGATTTTTAAAGCAGTTCTTATTGCACTCAAGGTATTAAGACAAGTACAAATAACCTTGTAATTAAGATGCTGTATGGGTCATTCAATAAGGAGAAGACACTGCAGTATGAAGAGATTGACAAATGACTGACATATACCAGTTGGATCAGAATTAACAAGCAACTTGAAGTGGGGCTGCTTTTTCCTTTGAGAAACGCCAAGTTTCCTAAAACAAATGAGATCAGCGCTCTGACATCCGTGCCCCCTGACAGCCTTGGAGAGAAGCCGTCTTCACTTCCAGCTGTTAGAGTGACAGGCGCCATTGCATCTACTCAGCGGCCTTTGCCTCACACGCCTGCTCCCTGCCTGGCTCTCAGAGACCATTTCCCCTGAGAAACGCCAGCGCAGCCTGACCCTTACGTGATGTTTTTATTTTTAAAGTTACCACCGATGGAGACATGAACCCCTTGTCAATCTGGAACAGCAATGGCCACCCTTCTCCCCACGCACTCCTCCCAGCATCGGTCCTCTTGCTGGTGGGGGAGGGTCATGCTGTGGGCCCTTCTCTCCCCAGCACAAGTCTCTTTCTGTGAGGCGTCCTGCTGCCCTCCCCGCCCCGCCCCGCCCAAACCCCAACACTGGCCTTCACCTTTCCCACCCCAAAAAGTGCGGCTCATAGTCACCTTGTAGACAATGGCGTTCATGGCTGTGTCACCATCCACACTTTTCTTAAAAGCCCTTCCGAACATCGGAGATGACGAAGATGAGTTATGCCTTTGGGTTTCCTCAGCCTTCCCTGACTGGGTCAGAGAGGAATGCTCTGAAGACCTGCATGGTGTGTTGCGTTCTGTGTTTCCATGGAGACCCCTAAGATGCAATAGGAGGGAACATCTCTATTCTCCCAACTGGGGGGAGGGAAGCAGCCACAGGCTCAGCTGGGCTCAGGTCCTAGCACTTTCCTGGCTCGGGTTCTCCTGTGGGAACTGGTGATTGTTCATAGTGACACGGTCACAGTTATGTCCCCAGAGGCGGTGCCCGGGTCACAGCACCTGCAGCAGCGCCTCTGCTCTGGGAACACAGCAGCCGCAGCTTTCACCGGAGGGACAGCCTCAGCCTCAGCCTCAGGCCCGGAAGTGCCCGGGGTGGTTCGGGAGGACATACAGGGCGGGTGCGCCCCTGTTGCCGGGCTATTGGCCCCGCCTCCTCCACAGGTTCTCATGCGAATAGTGACGCCCCGGGGCCAGGGCCTGGGGGACCCGCTGGTGGCCCCAGTTTGATGTCAGCAGCCAGGCCATGGGGTCCCTCTGTGCCCTGGGGCAGCGGCTGCCTC